TTCATTCTCCCCCATGGGGGCTGTCTCCAGTCCTCCATCCTCCCCCCACTCACTCTCTCTCTCCCCCCCACCCCTTCCCTTCCCCTCACTCTCCCTCCTCCCTCTCTCACATATATATGTATACATACATACATATATGTATATATACATATTACAGAGAGAGGGGGAGAAATTCCCACTCAAGGACATGATATTTATAGAGAAACTGAAATAATCACTGACAGAATTATCAATAAATTTTAACTTAATTGAAGCCAAATGCTCACTTAGGAACATATGTCTGCACTATAAAAAGTATAACTGAGAGGATGAACTTTGATTCTTTAATATGACCTCCTCTTAACACTACAAAGTAGAAATCAATCATGGATAATAATATATTTTAGATTACTCAGTGGAGGCTATCATCAAAAGGCTAAAGTTTAATTGAACATTACATTTTCAAATCACATTCTTTTTTTCCCCTCCTCTCCTTCTTTGTTTTGTGTTAATAGAACACTTCTCCCAAGTTTTAGTGAGGAATACTTTGAATGAGATATTGGATGGTAATTTCACTCATTTGTTTAATAAGATACACTCCAACCACCCAGAATTATGATCTTTATTCAATAGCTGCACCAAGAATACCCAGAATTACAGCCATAGATTAAATAATACAAAGGACAATTTGGTTGCAGTGAAACCTATTCCCTGCATTTCTATATGATTCATTATTTTCAGTGCAGCTTGCTTGAATGATTTACATGAAATTTACATGAAATTTCTCAAGAAGTGGATTGGGTGTTTTCATTCCAAAAATAATTCAAGATAAAATGGGTATTGACCACAAGCAAAATCTAGCAAGTATTTCATTGCACCTTAAATATCATGGGCTCATTCCTAGAAAAAAAAAAAGAAAACCTTCTGCCATAGTTCAATTTTATTCTCAGTATGCTGTGCTTTTAAAAATATATACTTATAAATTCTACTGAAAGGGATCTGTTGGGCAATTACTGTATTAATACAACATGTGACCTTTAAAAAAAATCATTAGAAAAACCCAAACCCATCACTTTTAAAAATATTTAAAATGTGAAAGGTTAGACCATCGATCGGTAAATTTCTCTTCATTGAATGTTATAGTTTATAATCTATAATATTGTCTTACTGATGTAGTGCAGGTTAGTAGATAAATGTTTATGTCTTTTCAAGTACCCAATCTAGAGCCAAAAATTACCCAGCGAGTTTTCATATCCAAGGGAGGATTAGATCTTCTGACACCTTAATCAATGTACCATGCTGGGTCTCAGGTGATGGATAGAGAAAAAATGCTGCATGGTTTCTTAAGAAAGCTACCTATTTTGGCTACATACATGTATAAATAATTAAAACTTTAAATTGGGGGTCTGCAGCTTATATGATCTTTCAATATAAACCATGTTGGCTACCGTGGAAATGAATCAAAGTTTGCATCCTTGTTTTTTTAAGATAAAACCTGTTTTAATGTGCAGGGTTAAATAATGGATTGTTTGTTTGTTTTTAAAACTTTATCATCTTAATGTGCAAGGCTAGAAGATGGATAGGTTTTTCAGAAACATTTTCCAAACTCTTAGTTTTCTAAGTGTTTCACAATAGTTCAACAAGAGTTGAAGGTCCTACCCTCAAGGAAGCAAACCCAATGAGAAAATAAGGAGAAGAGAATAGAGGTAATACGGACAAAGAAGAAAAGAGTACTTCAAGGACAGAATTAAATTAGCTATAAACTGTATGTTTGGATTGGTAATATCTTTTTGTTTTTGTGCTCTTGTTTACATACAAATTGTTGGGACTTGGCCCCTGATCAACAGAAAAGACTGAATTAAGACCTTCCTTTTAGTTAACAAGCGGGCCTGACCTAAGGTGAGTTTTAAATAGGGACAATTTTTAAACAATTTTAAAGAGCCACAGCTACTAATATTTGGATTTTAATTGGTTTTTAGCAGGGGAAAATTTCTTTTTGTACAATGTTTTAATATGCTGTGAGCCGCCCTGAGTCCCATGGGGAGAAGGGCGGCATATAAATTTAAATATAAATAAATAAATAAATATAAATAAATAAACTCAGATGTGATTTTTTTTTTCTTGACCAGGCCATTCTGCCATTCACAAGGCAATCCTTTCTCCCAATTTGAAATAGACTTCTTAACTTTAGACACTAAGGGGGAAAATTGGTGCTTGGGTAAGAGGCCCTGGATAGGCAGCATGCGGCATTGGATATATTATTCTACCATATTTATTTATTTGAACAATTTATATGGCTGCACATCTCATTAGAGTAACTCCAATCTAATGGAGAAGGGATGAAGAGGATCATAAGAGTCAATAATACTATTAACAAAGGATTCGCAAAGCCTCCTAATTTCTAATTATTTTTCTTACGTATACCAAATACCAAATTATTCAGTTTTATTAAATTAATTCACTAAAATTAGAAAAATGTTCTTTTAAAAGAGTTCCACCATAATTTGAATCAGTATAGAGCTGTGCCAGTGTGGCTCTTTTGACTACCGATAAAAGTATGTGGGGTTTTTTTTTGGGGGGGGAGGATTTTCTTCCAATGTGGCTGAGATATTCATACCATTTAATAATAGAATATGTCCAAATTTTCTTCCATCTCAATTTCTCCATGACTTTTGTAATATGTATTATTTATGTATTGCATAATTTCAATTGTTGAACAAAGGGCTATTGTATAAGGTTATGCATGATTTATAATTTCAAGTTATTTTAATTCATGTCTCTCATTTATATACATATGTCTTCAACATACATTGGTAAAAATGGAAGAAGAGTTGAAAGAATTAAGAAAATACAAATAATACAAAGGTCATGTTGTTTGCTAAGTGACATATACATTAAGAAAACCCATGGAAAAACCAATTAATAAAATATTGTATCAACCATTGAACAAATATGTTATACAGAATTATAAGTCTCGCTTATATACATCAGCCACATATCATTCTAAAAGTACTCATTTGTCAAAACTAAGTTATATTTGCTTAATTTTGAAATGGCAACATTCTAATGACTAATCCAACTATAATCCTAGGGTTGTGTTGATATTATACTTTCATATTTTAGAATGAAAGAGAAATGCCATGTTTTTAACAGCATAAAATGTCTGTAATTAATCAGAACTCCTAAATCTGACAAGGCACAAGTTTTGAAATCAGTGTCACAAAAGCACAATGTTTCAGTCAAGGGATTGTTTTATAGCCAAAAAATGAAATATATGTTTGAGTCAGAACAGCATCTTGCTTATACAGTCACCTTTTATTTTAGCATCCATTAGAAATAATAACTACACACCTTTGTGTTTGTGCATCCAGTCACACCGATATCCCAAATGCATACAATAGCTGCAGTTTATCACTGATACCATTTAAAAGCTCTTCTATTACCTGCTTTTATTAAAAAAAAAAAAAAAAGAGAGAGGAAAATGGCCCTGGATTGAATATTTAATAATTTGTTCTTGCTAAAGTATTTTTTTACTGAATCCAACAGCCTAATTTCAAAAGCAAATTAGAAAACAGTCTACCTTTCAAATGAATATTGTCATCCTCTAAATGAGTTATAAAAACCTACAGGTGAATACTTTGGTCAGATTTTCCTTTTTTTTTTTACTCCTATATAGCAAGGAAAAGCTTTGGACATAAAAAGGAGGAATTCCTAAAGTTGCCCAAAGTGTCTGTGCAGTATGCATATGTAATATTTTGTGGGGTAAATATGGCAGTATGTTAAAAACAGAGATGATAATGATGATGCAGTCATCATTATCACGCACCCTAATATAATAGTGTTCATGTAGCCAATGAAGGCATAATGGAAAAAAAATACAACTTACCTGTTTTAGGATCAACAGAGAAATATGGCTGTCCCTGAAGAATACTATAAACAACTCGGGCACTATTTCCATAGGTGGGATCATCTGCATCTGTGGCTGTCACCTGAAGAACTGAGGTACCTGTTATAGTCAAAGAAACATGATTCAGATTTTTTAAGTGATGTACATTCTGATACTTCCAGTCAATAAGATAACTTACTGTAAATATAATCTTTCACTAAGCCACTGACCTTATTATCATTATTTGTTAGATTTATAATTAACCTTTTTCCTGGAGTTTATGGCAGATTATATCCAGATCTCTCTTCATTTTATCACAACAATAAATCTATGAGTTGGGTTGGAGTGATTTGAACTCACTCCTACCAGTGTATGCAGACCTTCCTCATTTATTAGCCAAAAGACTCAAATCCAGGAAGCCCCCACTGGCACTTGCTCAACATCTGCCCAACAACTTTAACATCGATTCCCAATGGAAAGTCAAATGGGTTGCTGAATGCCCAGAAATAGGAAGACATATAAACTGACTGCACAAAAAAAGTGCCAGGCTTTGAACTACCACATCAGCAATGGACAATCCTGAATAGGATTTGCATCTCATACAGCATCTGTCAGCACTACACACTGTATAAATGGGGCATAGTATCCTCCCCTCGGTGTGACTGTGAGGTCCCATGTCAAAATGTAGATCACAATTGTGATCAGCTGTAAGCTGAGGGCATATACCGGTACAGTATCTGATTTTTTAAAAAATATAAACAATGCTGCACTTCAATGGTTAGATGGCTTAGACATTGGTATTTGAACACAGATCTTTTTAACATTTGTATTTTATTGTATTTTATTAATTTAGGTTTAATGCTAATATATATTGCTAGCCCATGTATGATATGCCATATGCTAAATAAACAAATGGATTGGAGTGAGGGACAGAAGAGAACTAAAATCATCCAGTGAGTTTCTGTGGACTAGAATGTGGATCTCAACAACATCACTCCACTCTGGATATTCCTTCTATTTTAAAGAATACGAAAGCACAAAAGTTCAGAAACTGGATGATTACAATGATTATGTGTATCCTAGGTATGGTTTTTTCCACTGATATTCCCATGCTTGCTCTACATTTTGAAACTTCATCTTTTGTGTTTGCAATTCCAGTACAAGAAAAGGCCAATGTTGACTTATTATATATTAAAACTTTAAAAACTACAATAGATTATAAATTATAAAGCTTTAAAAGTAAGCCATGCTCAATAACATGACATATTAGAAACTACTTGTAATGATTCCCCCGGATGCTTCCCCAAATATCTCTTCAGATGTTAGATCAAAGGAAAATGAACCAGTTCTCAGCATGTCTGGAGGGGAGTTGGTCAATAGCTCCAAACAGCCATCTGAGAGAGATTTGGCTGAAGCACAGCTGCAGCAGGCAGCCATGAGGCTTCAAGTGGGGGAAATATGCAGCTGCAGCTGGTTAGTGATGAGGAAGAAGAACTGCCTTCTGCACCTGATCCAAGAACATGTAGGGCAGAGAAAAGGCAGGAGCAGAGAAGGTCAGCCAGATTACCTATGAGGCAAAAGCCTTGTCCTTCTTGATGGGCTGCACCAGAAGCTGGCTATTTAGCACAGCAGACAGATGGAAGTGATGCTGGGAACAATGTGTTCATTTCCTAGCTGTGTGTTTTCTGGTTGTTGTTATTCTTGTCTCACTTTGGATTAACACTATGACTTGGATTGTGCTTTGTGAACTCTGGACTTTTCTTATCTTGTGAACCCTCTTGTATTGTGGATTTAATTTTGCTTGGTGGGTTTATTTTGGTTGGGAAACTTCCAAGTGCCTTGTGGACTCATTGGCCATTGGTCTGCTTGTGGCTAGACTTGTGGCTGACAGTTCTGGGTTTTTGGTGAAGGGAGTTGCAGGGAAATATTAATAAACCCACAAAATCACAGTTACATGTGTGTGTATGTGTGCATATTACTTTATTTGTTTGCTTGTTCCAAATCCAAATTAAGGAAATAATTTAGATGGCAACAAACTCTGAAATAGCAGGTAGAGGGGGGTAAAAAAATGTTATTATGGAGAAAAAATATTTAAACACTGTAATAAGGTAAGCAGGCAGACATTCCCAAACTAGAGGCATGCTGCTTGTTAAACAATATGAAACGGGCTTATTAAACATCCAGCTTGTAATTGTGATGCAGTGTAATGGATGCAGCATTGATCTCTCTAGATCAGGGGTCTTCAAACTTGGTCCTTTTGTGACTTGTGGACTTCAACTCCTAGAATTCCTCAGCCAGGCACACTGGCTGAGGAATTCTGGGAGTTGAAATCCACAAGTTATAAAAGGGCCAAGTTTGAAGACCCCTGCTCTAGATGCTAGTTCAGAGGAGGAGGAGGAGCCAGTCCCTGGCACCTTTTGGGAAGACAGGGCAATGAACCTGGGGGTTGTTGGAGTCACTGACCAGAGAGCAGAGAGCTCCAGCTCAATGGAGCAACTGCAGCTGGCTGAACTCGAACAGAGGAATTACAACTGCCAGGATGCTCAAGGCAGAGTGAGAGCAGCTGTCAGCAAGGATGAGGAGGTGGAGTCAATCCCTCCTCCCCATCCAAGGGCACGCAGGGCTGAGAGGTAGCAGAATTGTTGATAATCCACATAACACTGGCGGTCATCGAGTCCAGCCCATCATCGTTGATGTGACAGCTCTGGGCGTCAAGAATGGTATGTTAGCCCTAAGTGCCATCGCCCCTCTGAGAGCCCCGATTTCTACCCACATTACCGTAGCCTGGACTGGTCAGCCAGGTTACTCATGAGGCAGCAGCTTCACCCATCATGAGGGGCTGTACCAGCATTAACTAATTAAGTCTGCCCAAAGAGAAGGATGTTCCTGGAACAACATGTCTGGTTGCCTTGCTTTGTGTTCCTGCTTCCCATGTTTCTTGCCTTCGGACCTTGGATGGATTCCTTGACTTTGTGCCTCGCCTTGTAAATTACTTCTAGCCTTGGATTTGCATGCTGTGGGTGGCCGATGTAACTGCTGACAAAGTTTTGTAATTTAACCCATTCTCTTTGTTGGCTTGCCAGAGCCTCTGGTGGAACCAGAAGAAGGTGTGGGTTTTGGCTAGAGACTGAATAACTGGGCATGGACAGCTCAATAAAGACTTTTAGCCCACTGTGGTGTGTGCTGGGACAGCACAAGCACAAGATTCCACATGTGATTGAGTTCCTGCTCCTTATAGACAGCTAGAAAGTGATGGGGGCTGCCAAAAAGTTGAAACCTTTTAGTTTGAAACTAGTTCTGTGCTGAAGTAATGAAGATAGTCCTTGACTTACAACCACAACTTGGAGCAGAATTTCTATTGGTAAGCAATGTGGATATTAAGTGGTCTTATTTTATGACTTTTTTTTACGGCAATTGTTAAACAAATAATATAGTTGTTAAGCAAATCTGGCTTCCCCCATTGACTTTGCTCATCGGAAACCAGATGGGAAGGTCACAAATGATGATCAGATGGTCCTGGGATGTTGCAACCATCAAAAATAATTGTTGGATGCCAAATGGCTGAATTTTGATCACGTGACCATGGGGATGCTGCAATGGTGATATATGTGAGAATCGGTTATAAACCACTATTTTCAGTGCTGTTGTAACTACAAATTGAATGAGAACTTTTAAGTCGAAGACTACGTATATCATATTGTATTTTTTTGCAGTTCGGTACAGAAAAATTCATCTGACACAATGATGGTAGGCTCACCGGAACGTTTCTCAGTCTTTCAAGGAATGTTTTGCACCACAGAGAATTAGCAATAGGAAAGTAAGTGGAAAGAGGAAGTGCCTCTGAAATTTATCAGAAGTATTTCATGCATCTAATTTTGATAGATTTGAGCTTTAAAAAATAATAATAAAAAACAGCCCTTTTCTCTTGCTGCACATAGAAGCTTAATTTATTCAATGTACAGTTAACTTTCCAAATTATTCCCTTATGTGCTTTTAGAAATTTCAGCTTGCATATTATATATTCCACACTTAATTTCTGAAAAGAGAGAGGTTAAGTGCTTAAGGGTGGACAGGAGATTTGAAAGTTATACAGGAGATACATCAAGTGAAATGAAATCCTTAACCCCTAAAGCAAAATGTGTAATGAATAGTTGAGGTGATTTGGAAAGATGTCCTACAAAGACTTCTTATCTTTTCTTTTTTATTACTAACAAGAGCTATTATGTGGTTAGTAACTGATTGCTGAGAAGATGCCTGGATTTGAAGAGAAATAATGACCCACAATGACTCTTTAAAATTCCTTCGGGGCTAAGCTCTCTGCTACATCTACTGTTCAGGAATTACTGATAATTACCAGAATTACTGTCAGGAAATAACTGGAAGGAGCTATAAAACACAGTATTGTGATGTGTCTCATCCTATTCCTCCTTCCTCTGGTTCATGAAGAGGAGCTAACAGAGGTTATGTTACATGTTTCTGGAATATATATCAATTCAGAAAAGGGAAGAGAGGTGCCTGAGGATTGGAAATCACACTATAATATGTTTCCTCAGGGATCTTATATGGCAATGGAACTGCTTTTTCTGTAGTTTTGTCCAGCAACTATAAACCAAAATTTTACGTAAGCACCATAAATTTGTTAAAATCTTGAACCAGTGTCTGGAAGCTTTAAGGGTCTGGATTAAATCAAATGAGATCCTATCAAGTTGGAATTCTGATTATTAATAAACAGCTAGACTGTTACAAATGTCACTGTACTGAGACAATATGATGTATTAATTTACAGCATAATTAAATGAAACTAAGTAACCCAATAACATCAATCCTAGTAGTTATTCTCAGTGGGAATCCCATTTCCATTGAACCTGATGGCTCATAACCTGGGGGCAATGATTCTCCTAAATTCCTGGATCCCATTAAAACAGCAGGTAAAAATTGTGACAATTGGCCTTCATCCAGCTTCATTTGTAACACTACTTATGACTGAATGCCCTGGTGTCAGTAATTCAGTACTCAACCAGAGAACCAAAATACCCTGTACATGGGGCTGCCTTTAGAGACCCAGAAGCTATTGCTGGTGCAGAATGTTATGACTAGGTTATTGATGGAAATATCAAAAT